TTCATCTATCGTAAAACGATTTTATAATAACTCCATTACCTTGCAAAGACAAATTTGAATACAATCAAAGACTTGCATAATCACTTCTTCAGTCTTGGCTGAATCACTTAACATTTCTATTGATAGATCAAATTAAAAGAACTTCTCGCGACGTCCCCTTTTAAAAACTTTTTTTAAATAATATCATAATTGTGTTAAAAATCTTATTATTCTCAATGAGATTTAAAAGCAAGCACGGTCCCGTTAAATCGCGTTGTAAAACTAATTAAAAACTTAAATCGAAATAAAACAGCGTAGTGCATTGACATGCTTGTCTCATCAAAGTTAAAATTTACAATTGATAGTTCACTTAGAGTCATTAAGCCTATTTTACGAGGGTTTTAACCTTCCAGAAATTACTGAGGACACAATATAATATGGCTATTAACATGTTTGCAACTAGCGCATCATTACATTAGGTACCTACTACTAAAACAAATAACAGTAAATTCATACATGTTGCAAGCAAACCCATATGTTTTACTTGTGTAGAAATTTAAAAAAATAAGTCTTCACAAATACACAGGAGTTAAAGTTGTTGTCTTTTTAATGATTTTTTAATGATACAGAAGGACAGATAAACATGTTGAAACGCCCAAGCCATATAACATTTCAAGAAGATAGGCTGTCGCCCTATTTTGGATATTCCGTAATTGAAATGGTAGCAATGTGTGGCTAAAAATCAATGTGTCGTGGGGTATGATCATCACCAGATTCAACACGTTACTAATCGATTTATAATTTGAAACATGTATGAGAGATCACGTACCGGACGTCGAGAGCCTGGACGTCCTTCTACCGGTGGATGGACGACCAGGTCAGGGTAGCAGGGCAAAGCTGGATTCAACTAGCAAACGACCGGTCGTGCTGGAAGTCTATGGGGAAGGCCTATGTCCGGCTGTTGACACCGAACGGCTAAAACTATTAGATATATTAATAGTCTTGGTTAAAAAGAGTTTACGAAATTTATTATTTCGGAAACAAAAGAATCACGCGTCGAACGTGAAAAGTTAATTCTTTATTTAGAGAGAAACATTTTAAGGATCGCAAAATTGTCAAAAGGCAAAGAGCATAATAGCTTGCGACGGATGTCTCGAGAATTCGCGAATTTGGGCCCGTTTAAAACAATTAGAGTTAAGTATTTCGTAAGAAGGGTTTGAACAGGCGATGAGAGCGAAGGTCTCGTCAAAAGGATGTTTGTGTTTATCGGGAATGTATATGAATACGAAAGAAATATTCTTTGGTCTGCTTATGGGAAGTACATCCATGTTATGGGGAAAAGGCAAAATGCTAAGGACTTGTTCATAACGTGTAAATGCTTACTAATTACGAAAAATGTAGCTGTTCAGTGTCCACGATTCGATGACGCATGGTAACCCAAAGCATAACCATAGTGCGCTGAGCGAAAAAGACGTTAAGAATAATATATTTAATCTATGAACTGTTGGCATGGGCTGTTCCTAATTCCCTAATAAAAATAAGCCGTCTAGTTTAAGTTTAATTGCGTTTTGGGATCTGTGGATTCTGAATTCCGTGGATTTCCGAATATCCAAAGATTAAAAGTCGACAGCGCATTTTGTATCGATGTTATATGGCTGTGGTATTTCATCTACCATTAACGATCTTATTAAACGCAATGTTTTGCCTTAATTTTGCCATTAAGGCGGAAAATATAACAGAAAAAATTAATAAGTATTATGAGCTATTTCGACTATTAACTTCTACGAAGCTGTGCAACTTGTTCAGCCGTGAGAAATAAACTGTCTTCGAATTTTACCTCCAACTTAATTACCTTTTATTAGTTTAAAATCAGATATTTACTATGGGACGTTATCGCACTGAAGGATAGTAGTAATCTATACTCATATAAAAAAGTGAAGATTTTGTTTGTTTTAGCGCGCTAATCTCAGGAGCTACGGGTTCGAATCGAAAAAATATTTTTGTGTTAAATGAGGCATATAGTGAACAAACCCGATGTTATATAGGGTTGTAATATTAGCGAAGAAACAGCGGGAAATGTGGAGAAACGAGGACACTTATTCATCTATGTGTGTTACCTAGGCGTACGCTGTGAAAGGTCTATATAAGATTTGACCCTTTGTTTCACTTTATTTTCGCATTGCACTTTCTAAAGTGTGTAATTTTAAATGGAATCGAAAATTTACACACGCGGTACTCGAACCGGCACTTGTGGTACCAAAGTAATGAGATATCGTGTTTAGTTGCGTTCTTCTCCGTTGCTTCTGTTATAGAAGTGAGAGTTTGAAATGTTAATATTAAAAATGTTCTGCAAAAAAAAATTATAAATTTCTATTAAAAACATGTAACGCTTTTCAAGCCATGAACATGCAGACTTATTTCTAAGTTTTACATTTTTAATTAGATATTTGTTTAATATTTTTTTCAAATACTGCCTATAGTTTACGCGAGTAGTACATAATATTTTCTTTAGACTTACAGTTAAACCGCCTTTGTAGACGTGTTGCTTAGCATTGCGTTAAGCGCAAAAAGCCCTTGGTCAAAACCCTGGTCAACAATAGATTTCAGCCAGTTGGTTACAGAACTCTGATCAACTACTTGCCTGTATAGAAAAGCGTTACAGAAAAAAATCGCCCCATGCCCGACGGGGGGGGAAGTGGGATTACAGGTAAGTCGTGAACGCAGTCAAACTTAAGAGTAAATATATTTTATGTTAAGATCTCTTTTTTTAAAGCTAGGTTTTCATGATCAGATGCTTAAGTCCTTCTCGACTAAGCAAAGTCAATGATGATATTTTTATTTAATTAATACTTTATGGTAAACCCCCGCATTGCGTATGTACCCTAAACACTTGGACAACAAAGTTTTTCAATTACTTGATAGATACAAGACGAGTACAGTGTTTTAGCAGATTCTTACTATCTAAGATTCACTTAGGTAATTATATCGGGACAAGGGGAAAGTTTCTTCAATCATTTTATATTAAACTGGATAGCGAAAACTTCGTAGTCCGCTCTTGAAATAATTGCAGTTAAGGCATAATTGTTCAGTTCCGTTTATTAGTTTTGTTATAACACATGTTATCTATATGAATAATTCGTCTGTAGAGTTCTTTTCTTTTTGCTACATTAAATCTTTACCTTCATTTTAAATATTCTTATGTTCCTATTATAGCCTATATATGTATTGGTTAGATTTCTAAAAAGCATATGAATTTGAAAACAAATACACATCTATGCATTCATTTTATTTTTAAATATACGTTTAAAAAGACGTTAGTAAACTCGTTAATGTCTCAAACTGAAGTATTTTGCAACAAACCGTGCGCTGTTCACGAGTATACCTGTGTATTTTTTTAATCTCTACGTAAAATGTAATATATGTTTTAAAACTGGCTAAGGCTGATTTTATAAGTATTGCTTTTATTTGGTGTTTTACGGATGACCTCCTGCCATTAACATCAGTACGAGATTAGAAGTTTTTTTTATTGAATTCTATTGTTCAGAGCAACGCCTATTATATGTGAATTCATGCATGTCATAAAAGAAAACTTAACTGTTTAAAAAGTCATAAAGCAGGCTTCCATAGGATTTTGTAGAGCACAGTCCTAAATAAACTGTCATAAAGACACAATATGTCGTCAAGGTGATTTGTTAATAAACGTTGATAGAAGCGTCCGGAGCGAGTTTACTAGCTACCGTAATATACCTTCGTGCTCTGTTGTAACTGGCTAGTTACACGCACCATCAGATGCAATTATATACTACCTTCTTTGTAATAAAGAAGTATTACATTATTAGAAACATATAAAAAGACGTTCGAATATTTTAAATTAAATCTCAAATAAATAAAACAAATATGAATGACTGTAATAAATTGTGTAAGGCGAAAACGGCCATCGTTCAGCATATCATTGTCTTTCGGGCTGTTCGGCCGATGTGAGCGAGAAGAGGTTCTCGACGTTTCGCCATCACGTGTGGACGGCATCATCAAGAGATGTTGACTCCTCGATTGCTCGAAGAATTAATTAGTTAAGTCTTTTGATTTATTAAATTTCTTATAAGCCCAATTCTAAGTGTATAAGTACTCGTTTATTAACACATAAAATCTATATTTTCCACCTTAACAATGAATTATACTTACCTATAGTAAATAAAGAGAATATGAAATGGATCAAAACGGCCATTCATGTTTTGCTACTGTCAAAGGTCTCTGTGAAAATTACGCAACGTGACGTGAAATATGCCTTAGAATTATTATTATTATTATTAGAATAAAATGCATTTATAATGATAAGATTCTTGTGACATCTACTTGCTGTTTAAAGATTATTTGTGTCACAGTTAATATTTTCCGATATCGACGTTTATCAAATATCATTTCACTTAAGATAAATATATACTAACTGAATAATAAGCCACTTATATTTTTAAGTATATCTGACATTATTTTTGTACATGATATGAATTGTAATGAAGGAAAAAGAAAATAAATTAAAGTTTATAATATATTTCTTCTCTTCATATCAAAATAGATATGTTAGTTCAGTTATAATAATAATTTTATTAAAATTTCTTAAAGCGATAACCATGTTGGTAAAATTATTAAAAACAGTTTCAGGCGTAAATTCATATTTTATAGCTGTAGGCAATTTTCTACTGGCGCTAGTGGTATTCGTCGAGTCAGTAGCTAAAATTCAAACGGGTTTTAGAACGAAATCTGCTTTCAGTCAACAAACGCGTCTAAACTCACGTACTTACTATTGACTCTCCACGGCGGTTTATTACTCAAAATTTATCCAGAATTTATCTTTTATTACTATAATTTCTTTGTCAATACCTCGCTCAGATAATCAAAAATACGCTATAGTACGTACCAATACAGTTGAGTTTTGTTTGTGAAAGGCGGTATTATTTAAATGTTGAGATAACTCCATAGCCTTTTCAGTATGGTTTTTGTTTTGTGCCGGTAAACTGTTTAAAATGGTTTTTACGATAACGAAATCTTGTGAAAATGTTAACAAAGGCTGTAGTTGGAAACAATATGCGTTATGCTTTATAGGTATGGCCAAATTTTTAAAATATTCTTAGTTTTGGAAAAATTATTTATTATATATAATAGTAAATTAACGAATAAATTAAAACATAATAAATGTAACTCGTGAGACTACTAATCAACAAAAATAAAAGTAAAAAATATCTCAGTTATTAATAATAAATAACCAAATTATTGGCTGAAGAATTCGTCTATTAGCGTCATGATATTATTTGTTGACCGTATTTTTTTAGGAATATGCAATTATTATTATATTTGAATTACTTTTAGTTTAGTTATAATGCACTAAAAAGATAAGATATGGATTTAAGGTGAATTTCGGTAAAGATAGGTTTTATCTCGGTTTAAATGTATAACAACGATCCAAAAATAATTTAGACTATTTGAATCTTTGACGTCATCAGAAAGTCAAACTAATCAAATAAAAGCAGTTCAATAACATAAGTAAATAATAAAAGTTATATTTTATAGTCTGTATTAACATTACTTTTAAAAATGGAAAATAAATTGAAAAAAAATTCGACTCGGGTAGGACTTGAACCGGCATCGTCAGCGTTCCGTGCTGTTGCTCTACCAATTGAGCTACCGAGTCCTACACCTCATCGTCGAATTTTTTTAACTGCGCCTCTTCCTTGCGTATTAAAGTTCAACGTCTTATGCTGCAATTTATTTACGATTTTAAATTATATAGTCCCGTCATGTGCAATAACATTTAAAAAATAATAAAGTTTTCAAACGTTACATTACTTTTGTTAAATTTAGCGTAAGAAACTTAGCGTAAGAGCGATGTAACATTAAATTAAATGTTTTCATACTTTTATTTAGTTTTAAATGCGGCTACTTACAATCCTTTTCATACTTTACTCTTCATAACGTTTATTTTACCAATTACAAACTTAAAAATCAAAAATAAATTAAAAAAACAAATTGATCAGGACAGTTCCGTATTAGTCCTCAAACAAATTGTACTACTGACTCCTACTCGATGGGGTTGCCCGTTTAAGTCCTTTCCTAATCGATTTTTTTTTAAATCTAATTTCGATTTTTAATCCATATAGTGCCATTATGTGCAAAAACATGTAAAATATATTAATATTTTGATTACAAACTTAATATAATAGTAACGGTTGACTAGACGGTCTGTATGCGTTACAGTGCCTATGTTTATATTGACAAATATCGTATTCAAATACATTAATTCAAGGCCATGACGAGTTGACTCATTGATGTTCTATTATTAAAAAATCTATGGGACTATTCGACGTTTTCATTCGTTTAATATCATTTATTGGAAGTACATCTATGACAGTAAAATTGTGTTACGCCTTCTAGCGACTGTGTCTTAATTACTACACAGCATTCAATTGAATCAAATTGAATATTATCAAACACAGGTGTTTTACGCTTAAAAACGAATTTATGAGATCAATACACTATTAAAGTCAAAACATCGGATTAAAAAAACAAATACCTAAAGCGTATTTTCAATGCGAGCGGACTTCTGTATCCGTTTCTTTTTTATGGTAATGGAGAATAGACAAATGGTTTTACTAGATGATTGGTCACAACAGCCATAGTATACACATGATGTGCTGCCTAATTTAGTTTTGGAAATCTATTCTATAAAATCCACAGACGATATTCCTATCACATATTTAATATCTAGGCGTCTAGACGAAGTACAAAAGGTTTTAAAAAATTAAAAACCAACTAGAGAAATGTCGGATGCGGTGGGAATCGAAGTCACGACCCGTAGATTATGAGCCATTGCTACCACTACACCAAGGAACCCGTTAGAATATAGTATCCAGTCCCCTCTATTAAATTCTAATGACTAAAGAATTAATTAAACCGTTCTTCAACTAATTACTCGAGATCACAAAATAGCATTTTATTTTAATTGATCATTTATGTCATTACGTGGTAATAAAGTATCCAGTAATTATCGTAACTCCTTGACTTTTAATAGGAAGTGGTTGACAACATTTATTAGTTTTTTTTCAAAACATTATGTTGAAGTCTCTGTCGTCAGATACTACAAAAACATTTCAAGATTACTGCGTAGAATATATACAATATATGTTACCATATTGCACATGACAGCTTTACATATAAATACTTTCTGTACTTTTTATTATATACTTACATATACTTTACATTTAAATCACTTTCAACTGATTAAAACGCGAAATGTATTAGTTACACTTATTGGGCCGTACTTAAAATAAGTTTAACTAATACATTTAGGGTTTTAAGCTGCTAAAAATGTTTTATTTAAGAATTTAAATCTATATGAATATATGTAATCCAACATATGTATACTTTACATAAATTCTCTAAAAGTAAATATTCAAGTATCTATCTAGGGTGTAGTGAATTATCAATAAATAAATGTAATTGATAAATTTTTAAAGGATTTAAATCCAGAAAAAACATTTTCGGTTAAAGCACAGACTACTAATATCTTAATAGAAGGATCGTAAGTAGACATATAACAGAGGCGAAACAGGCCTTCAACTAAATGTTTTTTTTTCTTTTTTTTAGTGAGTTTGCCCATGATCACCCATGGAATTGAAGCGAATAACTTAACGATTACGTCACACTCGGGGCATTTCCTAATAAGCTTCAACAACGTGCCCCTCAGTTCTACAATGCTGATACTCAGTGCTGGTATATCAGCACCGATTCTCAGCATGGTCGTTGATAGACTGGGAAGGAAATTCGGCGTGTATATCATCATAATGATACAAGGTGTGAGTATACTGGATTTTCAATTATAATTGATTTTTCATTTAATATACTTTATTTTATTATAACCTGTGACACGATTACACTTATTTCACTTAAATTAAAATTTTAAATTTTTCTTATACAAACATTTAAATTTCTAAGTTATTATCTATGGACAAAGTATGCGTATCGTTGTTGTCCGTTAATTTACGCGTATCTATAGTCGTTGCACGCGTTATCTATAGTTCGGTCACCAAACTATCAAACTTTATTTATCCTCTGTGCAAACTCATACAATATAATGACAATTGACTAGTGACCGTGTGCCTACATATTTTATCTCGTCACGTCAGATTTCCTATAAGCTGAAGTGATTGTTCTATCTTTATATCTTTTACGACGAATCATAGTTCAACCGTTGGCATAGAACCGTTTGGTTAGTTGATTGGTTACCAAGGCAACAAGGATAAAACTGCAGAGTTTGTTTGTTTGAACGCGCTAATCTTTAGAACTACAGGTTTTAATTGAAAAACTGTTTGTGTCAGTTTATTTATCGAGGAAGGCTATAAAATATCGCGCAAAAACGGCGGCGTATTTGGAAAACATGGGGAAATTATTTATGTTTGTGGGTTTCCGATGGGTACGCTCTCGGTTCGAGATACACAAAAAATATGTATGGAAGGAAGACTCTTCTTTACATGATCTAAAAACATATCTGCGACACTTTTTTAAGATTTAACTTGCAAGAACGACGGATCGCGAGCGACAGGACGCCATCGATGTCGTGTCGTGTCGGGTAGCAGCTTTAATTTATAAAAATGAAGAGGCGGTTTGCAAAAACAAATTCGTAAGCCCAAAATAACTATTCTTTGCGGACGAAATCGCTGACAAAGCTAGTGTTGTTATATTTGGGTAAAAATGGCTCCAAATTGCACATTTGCACCGTACATTTGCTAAGACGTTCTGGTGTTGACAAAGGTTACTTGTGATGGCCTAGATGTCACAATAATTATAGTTAAGTAATGACTTTACTATCCAGAGCAGAAATAATACAAGCTTTTGTCTAATCCCGTTTTCATCATAGTCGTATTGAAAATAACTGGATGAGTGATTAGAAAGAGAGAGAGATTTTATCAAAACACATGCAGTTGAACTTCATTTTGTTTAAATTTTCTGATATGATTTTGTTGATTATCGTATATGTATAGCCATAACAGCTCATCAGCGCATCCTGTTCACATCTTATTCCGCTGGGGTTTATCACCTTCCATGTGAACATTTGCTCGTATCTTCTACTCTATCAATAAAAATATCGTTGAAGGCGTGTTCATTAAAAAAACCTAACAATATGTATTTCTAAACAATGTACTAACAATTTATTTTTGTAACATACTTACTAGTGTAAGTAAGTATATTACAAAAATAAATAAAAGTGTGAAGTAAGATTTTCTAAAAAATGTATTTATGTGCCCACAGATTCGATGGAACCTAGTATTTTTGGCTAGACCTATATGGACAGATAAAATCCTCGACATCCTGTCAAAATAGTGCACTGTATTTAAATAAAACACTTTAATGGTTTAAAACGCGATATATTAGTTAAAACTTATTTGAAAATTATTTTCATATTCAAATAAGTTTAACTAATATATCGCGTTTTAAACCGTTAAAATCTTTTATTTAAATGTGTACTACTCGCGTAAACTATAGACAGCATTTAGTGCACTGTATTATCACAGTCATCGTGCGGACATATATAATATGTTAATTTTCACATTTACCCGATAATGAGAAGCGGGTAAGTCCACATTAAGATTTGTTTATAAATATACGGAAACAAGGCTGTCACGAAATTAATTTTGATTATAAAAGATTAAATGAAAAAAAATAAATTATTATAGAACATGCACATGATTATATTAGCTAATATTTATAGAGATATTAAATTTTATAGTACTAGATGATGGCCCGTTAGTGTAATGGTAGAAATGGTTGGCAAATAATTAACTGGTTGTGGATTCGATCTCCACTGGGTCCAATATTTTTCTAATCAATTTATAATTACACCCTCCACAGATGAAAAGGCCGTTAAGTTTAATCACCTTTCGGTTCAGTCTGTGGATTTCCAAAAATCCAAACACAAAATAGGTCGACGACTTGTTTAGATATTATATGGCTGTGGTATTATCTGTACCGTAAAAAATATATTTCAAAGTATACACCAAAGCCTTCTTTGGAACCGATTTTATAATGTATAAAAAAATCATGAATTGGTCGATTACCTAGATGTTCAAATAAAGATGATAAGATGCTTTTTCACATTTAATTGTAGTATAGGTAAAAAACTTTTTAACATATAAAAAACAACCTTAAAAATAAAACGATCCCGTTAACAATATTGTATTATAAACAGACATAATCCATTAAAAGTTAATGATTCGTTACTCCTACATTAAATCGGCTTAGTATTTTCGGTGATACGCTGAAACATACATAAAAAATACTGTCATAATCTCTCGCTTCGACGCTCGGTTTTAGATAACTCTAGTACGGAAATACTAGCTAAGATACTCCGCAATGGCTTGATTGACAAATTACTAACATTTGTCAACTCCGAACGTTAGCGACTATACAAACAAGCTCGTTTGTTTGATACCTTGAACAAATTTGCGCCTGCGCACGCTATTTCCGAATGCTAACTGTATTTATAGTACGTTTAATTCGAGGAACTATTGATTCTTGCTAAAACATAATTGACAAAGATTTTCAAATAAAACACTTTAACGGTTTACAACGCGATCTAAATTAGTTAAACTTATTTGAAATTGATTTTTAACTTCGGCCTGACGTTTCAAACGCGTTTTCACCGTTATAGTGTTTTATTTAAATGTGTACTACTCGCGTAAACTACAGACACAGGAATCGCTGTGGTCGTGGATTCGAATCCCAGTCATGACATAAATTGTTTTCAATCTCAAATAATGCTTTGAATCAGTTTAATAAATGGTTGTACATACATTTTTACTAGCTGATCCGGCGGACGTTGCTTTGTTTTTTGAAAGATGTTCTTGTTAGTTAATCTTACAAGATAGACAATTACTTTAAGGGACATTTATTTAGACCATTTTAAGAGAGTCATTAATACTTACATTTGTGGTTTTGTGAACCGATTTCGAAACGCCCGCAACGGACGCCCTCAAAGATGTTCCTCGTCATTTCTACATTTTCCACCGTCTCATCGTTTCTATAGGCGCATCCTGACGATCGCAAAGCCTTCCTCGATAAATGGTTAACTCAACACAAAAATACTATTTCAATTTGAACGAGATGAGATTTCAGGAGAGATTAAGTCATAAATCAGTTTTTTGTTTCAGATCTGTTGCGTACCACTCCTCCTGCCACCAAACAAAATTGCCTACGTCATTGTCCACTTCCTAGCTGGGGTGTCCTCAGCTGGTTTGTTCACAGTCATTCCAATGTACATACGAGAAATAGCACCCACGATATCCAGGGCTTCGCTCATATCGTTAATGGGCGTCATGATACCAATCGGCTATTTAACCAGGCTGGTGTTAAATGAGGAACCGATGATGTATCTGATGACCGCAATGGTGATGATAGAATTTTTTACAGTGTTCCTAATGATTGAATCGCCGAGTTTTCTTGTTAAAGTTGGGGAATATGAGGTATTTATATTAATTACTACAATATATAATATATTGTATATAATTACACTTTAACATTATATACACGCGACCTTCGATGCTGTCGAATCACCTGGCAAGCTCGTGGTGGTGAGTACGAGTCCCGCAGGGATCTTAATTTTTTATCTTTAAAAATATTTGTTTATATTTTAAGGGTTTATAGGACGAAAACCCCATTACCCATTACCCCCTGGCATGGGGCAGACACATCTCTCGTTAGCTACGTCACGTCATAGTTTCAGTTACTAGTTAATAGGAGTACCAGACATATTTTTCATTGGAACCACTCAGCTTAAGCTATGTTTACAATTCATCGGCGATATTTATTTTTATTTTTTTTACACGGCATACAATACAACTAAAATTACGATAAGATACACACCACATTATATATGCATATTTATAATTTTCAAAATATTTTCTGATCTTAAATTACTTACTTAGATAGTTGATATAAAAACTTTTAATAGCCCGTAATACGTCTTTGATCCTTGCAGAACGCGAAGAAAAACATTGCAAAGTTAAAATGTCTTACGGAAAATGACAATTATGTGTTAATGGAATTGAAGAGACTGAAAGACGAAAGCGATAGGGCTAAGCCATGGAAACTATTGGATTTGTGTAAGGAATATTTCATAGTCTTAGTTTAGTCCTTCACCCTAGAAGTCTAATAAATAATATTAAGTGTCTAATGAATAGAAACTAAAGACAACAATTGTGCCCGTTGTGCGCACGTGGCTGTAGTTAAAAAAATGTTTATTCAACTAATGTATATTGCGTTTTAAACCGTTAAAAGTGTACTAGTCGCGTAAAAAACAGATAATGTTTGGTAAATAAAAGTTCTCGTGTTTAATACCTCTACGAAATAGGTTGACCATATTTTTATATATTTTATTGTTGTAATATATGTAAAACTAATAGATTAGAAATTCATTTGACGTGACTGTTTTTGAGAAAAAAATATAAAGAGTGAAATTATTAAATATTTTGCACATTCTAGCTTTATCTCCTTTAATAATTATTACAAATGTGCCACTAAAGCTTAGAGATAAAACAAATGAGGTCGAGGGTTCGAGGCCCGCCCATGTATTGAATAGATGTTTAATTTTATAAAACGTATTTCAGTTAAGAACATAATCTGGCGCGATGCAATGAAAATTGGCTTTGTTCTTTACACCATGATGATATTGAGTGGAAGTAGTATGTTCTTAGACCACGACAAAGCCCTAGCTCAATTAAAGACCACTATAGACCCACAAAAGGTGCTGGTTCCGTCGTGTCTTTTAGCTGGAGGGATCATAAGTGTAATATTAGTTAGATTCGTTGACAGAAAAGTGAGTATGTGTAAGTAACTTTCACTTACTTTTTCCTTTTTCTTACCCTGTATGTATAATGTTTGAAAACTCTAATATTTTTCACATATTAATACACTAATATAAAATAAAAGTTGAAAAAAAAAATAGGACTCCTGCCCGAGTCGTATTTTTTTTCAATTCAATTTTTAATCAATTATTATTTGTGTATAATGTTTGTCTTTTTATTTTTCTAATTAATAATATGAGTAAAATAAATGACGATCAATAGATTGAGAGGAAAAAGTTATACAATTGTAATTTCGTGATCTTTTCTGAAACTATTTGTAACATTTTGTAATCAACAAGTAATTTGACTTACCATTTCATATTAACATGACATTATGATTCTTAGGTTTATGTTAGAGGAAGACAGACATGCATGGTCCACTTGATGGAAGGTGAAATAACATAATAAGGTCATATAACATCTAAATTAGGTGCACTAACCTTGTTTGGCTTTCGATATTCGGATATCCAGAGACTGAAATCGAAACGCGATTCATTCACAGTTTTTTCATTTGTGGACAGTGCTTCGTGAGCCGGACGGAATTTCGATATTCCTACCACCCAGTTAATATCCAGATTTCCAGATGAAGATGTTTTGGGAAAACACATACATGCCTGTAACAACAGCGCAGTACTGTTTCTTTATATTACAAAATCAACGTTTCATACATTATAATGTTATTCTTGTGCTATATCTGGAAAGAATAAGGCGATTACCTTCATTAGATAGAAAACATAAATAAATGTAGAGCACAGTCTTGCATGAACCTTGTATTCGAATATCTTGACGCTATAATTAAATTCCGTTGAACTCTCCAAGACACACTATATGTCTGTTTTCAATAAAAAAGTTTTCGATCTTAAATTGTTAACTTAAACAGCTTAGATTAATTTAAGAATTAGTCTGCATTTGAATTTAATTTCTCGAGCGAAATTTAAACTCAACGGGATTAAAATGTTGCCTCATGTCGTGTTGGTAATAAAAAATGTTAAGCTGTAAGTTGTTACAGGTTTATATATTTATGTAGCTTATTTTTTAAACTGTTGAGTTTTTGAAAATAGTATTTCAATTGAAACACTGACTGCTTGAAACACGTATTATATAAGATAGCGCTAGTGTATCTACTTGAAGTTAGAGATCCCACTTTTTTAATGATGGCGTGAATGCCTAATGCACGCCCACGTCGGGCAATAGTGACATGGGGAGTGCGGTAAATCGTATTGCCGACCAGAACCACTAAAAACACCACCAGCCTTTACAGCGCTTTGAGGGAATACGTTTGTACGACTCCATTGCTCCCAGCACCAATGCCCATTTCAGATATGGTGAAAGCAATAATAGGCGTGATCTTGGAGTACGCATAGCGCCGCCTCCTTGATCCCCGTCTCGCCGCTCGCAGGAGGTCATTAGGCCCCATCTCTCTTTTGTTTTTTTTTTCACGAAGCATGTGTGAGACGACGCTTGGAAGGAAGGAAATTAGGGATCCCTTGGATCTTAAAATTTTTATATTCTTCTATTCAATAATACGTAATTATTACATTCAATTTATGTTATAATATTTTTTCAGTATTTATTGACGTTCTCTTATTCTGTAATCGTGTTGTCTATGGGAGTGTTGGCGATCTACACCCAACCTGACCTCACCGTGACGTCACTAAGATGGCTGCCAGTTGTGTCACTAGGAATACTAGTATTTGGCTATGGAATGGCTTGGGGCGTCCCAACCATGGTTTTGGTGGAAATATTAAATTTGGAGGTAGGTTTTATAACTAAAGTCGTTTATTTCGGTTGATGTGGGTATTTATAAAAAGATGTGCTTCTATAATTTACAAATATTGCTCATTGGAAATATAAATTATCTTTAATAAAGAGTGTTAATTAGTTTAGTAAATAACAACTTATAGGACATGTATGTGTTAGTTACTACAAAGCAAACTTATAAATAAAAGGATGTGTCTTTTTATGATGAAGAAGGACAAACAATCACTTGATGGAAGATTAAATAGTCGTATAACGACTTGACAAGGTCGCCGCTGTCGACCTATTTTGGGTTTGGATATTCGGAAAACTTATATATCTATAACTAAATGAGTATGTGCAGGACGTATTCGTATCGTTCAGTTTTCAGTCCTAGAATACCTGATTATCATTTCAGAGAATAAAGACCAAAGAAAAAAATCTCTAGGTCACAGCTATATCAATTAAAACGTTTTAGATAGTTTCGTATTTCTAAGTATTGCTTGCCGAACTGAGCTCAGAGAATTGGTCTAATAAATTCTGTAGGTGGTCAATAAGCGGTTACGAAAGCTATTTGTGTACAACAAGATATTGCAAATTAAATAGACTTTGAACTGAGTATTAACTACAAGCTATATGTTTGTTAATTTAAATCTCGAACTGCTCCTTACTACGAAAATGAATTCGAATATTCTTTGTGATTTGAATTCGTAAAAGGCTTTCCTTTTAGCAAATGTAGTGTTTGCCTTTCGTATATTTGAAGAGTTATTTTCATCTTTTCAGATCAGAGCTACAGTCCTCGCTATAGTGTACTCCTATTCTCAAATAATAAGGATGGTACACGTCCACACATTAAACTACTTCGAAGACCTCATGGGCGTACACACGCTATTTTACGTATTTGCCGGTGTGAATCTAGTAGGCGCAGTCTACAGTATTATGGCGTTACCACAGATTAAAGATAAAAGTGTAAAACAGATTGAGAAGCAGTTGAAAAGGGTACCTATATTAAACGGTATCTGATGGCAGCCTATTATTTACTTTTCCCTTGTTAATTTATTATTTAATATTAAATTTGGCTTCACATTTATATTTTTGATAGGATTTACGAACCTCGGTACAATATTTTCACACAATCATGAAAAGATAATAATGAAATACTGTCTCTAGTTTACGCGAGTAGTACACATTTAAATAATACACTTTAACAGTTTAAAACGCGATATATTAGTTAAAATTATTTGAAAATGATTTTTAACTTCGGCCCGACGTTTCGGATGCTTTGCAGCAGCCGTAGTCACAGGGAGACTAAAGATGGAGGATGTCGTTTAACTAATATATTTCGTTTTAACCCGTTATAGTGTTTTATTTAAAAGATTTTTAACTTAGATCGTATGCATCAAATCAAAAATCATTTATTCATATAGATATCTAGGTATACTTATAAACGTAAATGCAGTTAAACATTAAACCCTAAAGTTACATATAATGCTAGTTCACAAATCAAGGACGTAGAACAAACGAGAAGAACAGGGCAAGAAACAGAAAGCAAGAAACTCGCCTCTTTTCATCACCAAGTGTTACAAATTTCTTAGACACTTAGTGTCGATGATAACAGAATGAACAGAAGAATTATTCATAAGACGATATCCATTATACATCTAAAGATTAATTAATAAGTAACAAAGCAACAGGGAATAGCTAGAGAATAGTTAAAATACAATTAGTTACGTAAGCATAGGCGTAACGTTAGGAAACGGTTGACGCTCTTAGCGAGATATGCAAAGGAATTCCTCTAACTAGTGATGTGCTTATTATATTACCAATAGAAGATTAAATTCTTTCGCGATGGAGCATATGACTGAAGAAAGCTGGGAACCATGGCAGGCAATGCAGTTCTTGATTTTGATAGTCACTTCTACTTCTACGACCATTGGAACTACACACAATGAGAGTCACAAAGAAAAATGTGACGGTATCTTTTTCTGTAATTATAATTCTTAATGAGCATTTTTTTTCTAAACAAATTTAATAATAATATTCTGATCGATATAAATCATTGACATAAATTTCGATACGGTAGCTCAATTAGTTAGAGCACTAGAACGGAACGCTCTGGATGCCGATTTAAGTCGCGCCTGTATCGTATTTTTTAATTTCAATCACAATAGATTTTTAATTTATATGATTTACCTTAAGATAATAGAGCTTAAATACGCGATATCTATCATCTGTTTAAGTTTGTAATTTCTGATAGTAAAATATTTTTTTTAATTAATGTGAAAACGCATTTATTTTCCTTTTTCATGCTCACTAATCAAAAATTAAAACCGGTGAAGTCGAATGTTAGATATTGATTATTTTGACGTTTGGAACCCTAACATCTTTACTCATAACTCACAACTTGTAAGAAGTCCGTTTACAATTGCGAGAAAATAAGAAGGAATTTTCAAGCAGATACCTTCAACTAACGTACTCGTACATACATAACAGTGAAAATCAAAAGCTAACAATAGACATTTAAATAAAACACTTTAACGGTTAAAACGCGATATATTAGTTAAACTTATTTGGAAATGATTTTTAACTTCGGCCCGACGTTTCCAAAGTTACCAAATAAGTTTAACTAATATATCGCGTTTTAAACCGTTAAAGAGTTTTATTTAAATGTGTACTACTCGCGTAAAGTATAGACAGTATTTAATTATAGACATCACTACCTTTAATATAATATGTGATGAATATCGCAAGACGTACGATAAATTAATTAAAGCGAAGAGCCCTGCTGATGAGATTTAGACAAATTGGATCTTTTGATTGGCTCCACTAGTCGCTGTTATTAATAGGAAGGTTTCCTTAATGTGATCCTAATTTTAACGGCGTTGTTCAAGGTATGTTTATCCTTAGCTTTATAATTTCGCAGACCTGTGTCGTGAGGTAATTTGAGTAAGGTATTTCAAATCAATTTTTTTGACAAATCATCCGTATACATTTCGTGATAAATATATGCGTGTTGACTTTAAAAGGACTTTTGAAATTACTGTGGGTCAATATTCCATTCGGTATACTCCGCACTTGTCTTCGGGGGCCATTCTATGAAATGGATGCATGTCGATATACCTCAAAGGTGAAATAAAGCTTATATTTCATTCAGAGGATCGCTCGTAAAATGTCGATAAAAAGAAATTGAAATCTATTTTCTACGACATGCACCATTGCTACCGTATCTAGTTTAAAACGTTCAAACTATTTTACTGTAGACCACCTATATTAATTTTGTTTTGATAGCTTTCGGTACTTGCGATTTGCGCGAGAATCAATTTGATCAATATGTTGAATGAATTAATGTATCAATAAGTTGAAACAATTCAACTATGAGGTGTGGGACTCGGTAGCTCAATTGGTAGAGCTTATACTCATGCTGACGATGCCAGTTCAAGTTCTGCCAGAGTCGAAAATGTTTTCAATTTATTTTCGATTTGAAATTAAGCTTTTGGTATACTAAATAAAATGGCAGTAAATTATATACCCAGACATTTTGTCAAACATAAACTGTATACTGTAGATAGCCTTTGCTAAAATCGTAGTAATGAAAGATTGAGCTATATTATAATATATATACTCCTCCGAAATAGCTCACCATACTGACCGATTTGTATGAATGTTATTTTTAAGTTTTATGGCTGGGTTATCCACCTACTATCAAGTAAACCCCTTATTTTGTTTGTCTTCTTCATTCATAAAAAAAACTTAATAGATAATATATGTGGCTCAAACCAAGCTGAGCCACTATACTCCCGTTGAGATACTGTGCTTTACACGTGTTCATCGTAATTATTCAAGAGAATCCCAGACTTACATATCATAGTATATCATAACATATCATAGTATAACATGCATTATTGATGAGAGATGTTCATTTAACGCCAATATGTTGAAAATGAATTTAAATACTTTCGCAAATAGCCTGAAAATTGGTTTCACGGTAAGATTCACGCTGCTATTACACCGAAGAGTTAAGCTATATCGACATGAAGAAAGGGCGAATCCAGCTTTGGTGGCAGAGGGGGTCACATAGTCGTGGTCAAGTTTTTTATGAATATACGTAAATGTACTTTACTATACATGAATAATATTCCAAAATATTTATTCTTTATTGTACACTTAAATAAATTAACACATCCCATCAATTGACCATTTATAAATAAAATCAATATGTTCAATTGGTGATATAAGTCCTGGAACCAGCTAGGAGGAAAGAAGCTTAATGACTCCATGACACCCCCCTCCCCCCAGATCAGGCTAATAATATATGGAAGAAGTTTCTACTTGAATACGTTTTAGTTAAACCAAATCAAAAACCATAGAAATAGTAATAGTATAATGCCTCCGAAACTAAAGAACACCATTCGACACAAACTTACTAACGTTTATTTAATTTAAATTAGAAATGAGAGTTATCATTCACTTTAGATTATTGTTTTAATTTAACTTAACCACTAAAAGAAAAAATTACTGATATTTTTAAATTGAAGACAAAACTAGCAATCAATTGAAAAAAATGGACAACACGGACGGGACTTGACTCGGCATCTTCTTCTAATCAATTGAGCTACCGTGTCCAACATCATCGTTGAATTTATTCAAACCATTGTTACAAGCGAGTCTCGAGTATTGTACCTAATAAGTACGCAAAACAAATGCATCAGTACTTTGTGTTACTTTCCACGTCCTTTATTACATGCTGGTCTTAATGTCAGCCAAGGGTATCTAGCCACAAAAGGTTGTAATCTGAATAAATTATAGCGATGCTCATCTGTCTTTTTGGCTTCGACCAAATTCAATTACAAAATTGAATTTCCCTCAAGAATATCTTTGATAAAGTGTTTCTGAGGTTTGAAGAGTTTAAATGGCAAGGGACCAAGTATTTTTGAACGCGATAAGTGTGTAGGAAATGGTTTTTTTATCATTTAATCCGGTAATATTTTCCAAATTTACGAGTCAAAAAATCTAATTTTGAAAAGACAAAGACCATGACGATAAAAAGACAATTATCTAAGTACAACAAAAGGTCAACATATCAATTAGAATCCGAGAATTTTTAGGCCAAACTAAGTTAGGAAATAGCTTTTGTATTCCCTTAATTTCGCACAGAAATTCGACCTAATTAATATTAGAGATGTATTGAACGTGACTTAAACCGAATTCGAATATTGTTATTTTGTTAGTTTATTTTTACTTAAGTGTGTCCAAATTTTTCTAATGCTTTACAGCAGTCGTGATGATAAATGACAAACCAAAAACTGCTACAGTGGCGCTACCGTCAATAACTTAACTAATATATTTCGTATTTAAAATCGTTAAAAATGTTTCATTTAAATCGGTAAACCTTCTTTTACAATTAACCGAATTTCGGCCCATCCCTTTTTTAACTGATGGTGTGAATGCCTAACGCACGCCCACGTCGGTCAATAGAGACATGGGGAGTGTGGTATTTCGTATACGAAATACCATACTCCCCTTGTCTTCGGCACACTCCCCATGTCGTTCTGTACCAGTAAACACACCTGATGGTGGTGAGGGCTGATGCCCTCTAAGGTGCTTTGAGGGAGCCATAGGAATCGGCCCCATCCCTAATAGATATATTATCAAAGACATGAGAAAATGTCAAAGACAGATACTTTAATAACTTCATGGTCTTGGAATGTCCCCGAACTAAGAATATTTGAACCCAAATTTACAAGTTGGACGAAACTTTCAACTTACCTAGTCTAGGTCAACAGGATTACTAAGTTAGCGAGAAGGTTTCTCAAAGAATCTCTATCCTCGTGACACGAATATCTCTCTATATCTTTGACGAGAGATATTTATTTAAATCAAACACTTTTAACAGTTTAAATTTGAAAGCTATTAATAGATAAATATTATTTTAGCATTATTTTGCCAATACGCTAGAGTAAATTTTATAGATTCCCAGATCTTTAGGCACTTTCTCTCTTTTTCTTTAATAGTAAGAAATAAAA